GCCTGAAATCAGTACCTGGTGCAGTGTATAAACATTGGCACTGGGGAGACAAAGGTAGCCAGAATGGTGTTGGCCATGCTAACATCTACTGTGCTGGGCCCCGGGTTAATAGATGTCTGCTAAAAGTGCATTGTAGGCTACACGTGAGTGTATGTGTGTGTGCATACAGTGCACGAACATGTGAAGAGGCCGAAAGAGTGATGCTCACAATGAGCGGAGTGCCGGGGCAACTAAAATGCGGCAAGGTGGCAGTAGGGAGTAAAGGTGCTGTATTTGTCAGTCGGTCAGTCAACCCATGACACCTGGGTCTGTACCGTGACCTCGTGTCAGCGGGAAGAGACTTCCACACTTCTCGTAACCTCTAAGTGCACCTAACCTGGCACATGTGCTGTGGTAATGCCACCACCACTTAGTAGTGAATGGTGGCTGTTATTGTTGTTATGTACGTATATGCGCGTGTGCGCATGTGCGCGTGGGCGAGTTTCACCGTGGTCCCAGAGGCCACGTTCGCACTCCACACACTCGGCATCAGCCAGAGGACACGGGCACGAGTGGACGCTCAAGCACTTCCTCCCGTGGCAAATCCACGCTTCGCAGAAGTCGCACACGGCACCCTGCACGCAGAAGTGGGGGCACACGCATTACACACCCCCACACACACACACAGGGGCACAACCACAACAGACAGCATCCACCACTAAGTGGCGATGACATCATCACGGCGCTTGTGCCAGGCTAGGTACACTTTGAGCCCACGTGAAATGTCAAAGGCTCGCTGGCAGGGGGTCACGGGACTGACCATAGGTGACATGGGTTGACTGACTGAGATGAGTGGCAGAGGCACCACCAGTTCTCCTCACTGCCAACTCGCTGCGTTTTATCCGCCCAGCGCACCACTTGTTGTTGTGTTGCTCGTCTGCCCCCCGCTGTTGTTGGAAGGGCGACTGCCTCCAACTGCCCAATAGCATCTTTCATGAGCCTCCTCCATAGAGGCCGATTTTGACACCGCTGTTACCAATCTATGGTGAGTCCACTCAGCTCCATATCCTCCTGTACTGCACCAGGCCATCTCCTCTTTGGCTCGTATCCTGCCAGTTTAGCCCCATGAACCCGGTCAAACAGAAACTGTTTGGGCATGCCGTAACTGGGCATGCGGGATACATGACCCAGCCAAGTAGCCTTGACTGTTGGAGGAGCTCACCAACGGAACTGTGTCCGTGTCTTTCAAGGATTTATGAGCTACAGCCTGGTTAAACCAAAAATGGATTGTACGCATGTTTATAACTGGCGCAGATGTTCCATTAGAGGAGTTCATGTTTCGCAAGTATACAGAAGGGAGGTCAGGGCATAACTTTGGCCAAGAACACCTGAAGCTTCGTGTGGATTGGCATGCCAGGTAGCTTTCACAGAGCATTACGCAACTGATGAAGATCATGCTGCCCAACTGATTCGGAGTGCTCTGCTGCCAAACCAGAGCTGCTCATAAGCACATTGCCCAAGTATGTAATCTTTGCACGCTCTCCAAAACTGCCCCATCACTCATGAGGAGTTGAGGGGTGGAGTGTTCCATGATACAATATACCCAGGCATGCAGTTACAAATACAAAGATCCCCCGTATAGCCTTAATGGACTGTTGAGGAAAGTGCTTTTCGCGAACATCTATGAAGGCCGGCATAGCACATGAGAAGGTTGGTGGCTAGCACCACGTCCGGCCGCCTTTGTCTCCAAAGTGGTGATGTTTATACATTGCACCAAGTACTAATTTGAGGCTGAGTCGACCTAGGAGAAGTCCAGTGCCAGTTAAGATATTAAAACTCGGGTCACAGGGTTCATGGCGCAGTACGCTAAATATTTCACCACTGCTCTCCACATTCACATTATACACACAGGCATTTATACACACACAGATACACACCCACGTCGCAGCGCTCGGTGTTGTGAGTCTGCGAGAACCCGGGCCAGGCACTCACCACCATGGCGAGGCCCGTGCTGAACACGCCAGGGTGCCGCACTACACAGTCCGAGCTCTTCTGCATGCACTTGGTCTTTCCTGAGCGACACAGAGACACAATGTTATACATTTCCACGCGAAAAGCCACTTCGTTGAGCAATCATTTTGCAGCCAGGTCGCGTTTTAAAAAGAGCTACATAGCTCAGTGGGCCTTACCTGGTAAAATAAAAAAAATAGTTGAATCGTTTTAATTCTCTGACAGCGTGACAACTGACATTGGGGAGATTATGTCGTTGCAGCAATATAAAGCTTAGGTGTAGCGGAGTGGCGGTGAGTCACCTACCACACTGGCCGCACATGGGCAGCTTCTGCACCGAGCTGCAGAAGTAGCAGAAGGCTCTGTTCTTCTGTCGCCTTCGAGGGAAAGCAGAGCGACACTCAGGCAACATGCGTAGTCACGGGTAACGTGCAACACAAGTCTCACCACCGCAGCTGCGTTAGGAGGAAGGGACGAGTGGACAAAATCACTTGAATGGTGCCGTTTCATTTCGTTATGAAAGCAACATGAATCTTAAGCAACGTGGGCGTTTCCTTCGGGAGAGTAAATCGAACATAACCCTTATAACAGCACGACTACCGCCGCCCTCACAACTCAATGACGAGACATGAGCCGCTGCAATAATGCACGCGTGTTTGTCCTATTGGACTAAAACAGATTCTCATGCACGATTCTATGGATGTATTTATCGCATTGCTTAATATGGATTTTGATTCACGCATTGTTATACCCTTCCCTGATTACCAGGGTACGTGTGTGATGTACGGCGCGATGCGATGGGCAACGATGATGAAGCTGGTTGTAACCACCAGCGAAACGTCGTACTCAAATTGTAAATGTTGTGGGTTTACTCTCCAACACACCGGTGTGCTGAAGTAGTAACTAATTGGCAGGTTTTGTTTACGTGACAAACCTTACCAATTGGTTGTCGGGTGGTGGTCGGTTAACGTCACATTGATATGTACGCAATCTAACCCACAAAACCTTTATTATGCGGTATATAGGTGAGGTGTGAGTGGTGTGTGCAGACCTGTTGAGTGGTGTGTGTAGACCGTGCACATGTACAACCCTTTTTCAACTCACTGATAGATGAAGCCCTCCCAATACCATGCGGACCATTTGGCCATTCTTCACGCTGGGTTGGCAGGTGCGGAGCATAGATGTTGGAGCATAGCAGTGAGGTACAACATATCCTTCTACACAGGTCGCTGCGGATGCGAGTGCCGTCAAAAGCATTCAGCGTTTACCCTGACCACCACAAGAATTGTTATACTGCACTTTCTATGCTCCCACATCGATGCTGTCTATCCTCACCCAGCCGTGTAATTGACATGTTGACATTGACACAACTCTTGAGTGTTTGTGGCCGTGCGTCTGGATCCTACCTTTGGCACTTGTCGCATTCCTGCAGGAGAAAATAAATGTTATGTTAGTCAGTCTGGAGGTCACCGTGGTCAATGCAACCAGGAGGTCGCGATCACTTCCTTGCTTATTCCAGACCCGGGCGCTTGTTGCAAAGATTACACCTCACCCCCAAGCACCTCCTCCTCTACAAGCCTCAGAATCGACCCCGTGTGGCTTGAGGTCCTTTAAAAACCACTCCTGATATAGTCACAAAGTAAGTGAATGCATCACCATGGTTCGGGTGAGGGTATTCGTTCATGAACGACTGTGCGAGTGAGTAGAAAAGTGAGTGACTCAGTGAATGACTGGGTGGGTCACTGGGTGGGTGACTAGGTGGGTGACTGGGTGGGCGACTGGGTGGGTGACGGCTATGGGGTGGGCGAATAAGTGGGTGACTAGGTGGATGGATGAGTGGGTGACAAGGTAACTGAGTGGATGACGAGATAGGTGACTAGGTAGTGACTAGGGTGACTAGGTTGGTGACAAAATAGGCGACTAGGTGGGTGACTGGAGGGTGGTGACTAAATGGGTGACTGGGGGGTGGTGACTAGGTGGATGACTATGTGAATGACTGGGAGAGTAATTAGATGGATGACTGGGTGGGTGACTAGGTCGGTGGCTGGGAGAGTTACTAGGGGGTGGGTGACTGGGTGGGTGTTTAGATGGGTGACAAGGGGGTGGATGACAACGGGATGGGCGACTGTGGGGTGGGTGACTTTGGGGTGGGTGCATAGGGGGTGGGTGACTAGGGGGTGGGTGACGATGGAGCTGGGTGACTAGGGGGTGGGTGACGATGGAGCTGGGTGACGATGGAGCTGGGTGACTAGGGGGTGGGTGACTAGGGGGTGGGTGACTAGGGGGTGGGTGACTAGGGGGTGGACGACTATGGGGTGGGTGACTATGGGGTGGGTGACTAGGGAGTGGGTGACTAGGGAGCTGGGTGACTAGGGAGTGGGTGACTAGGGGGTGGTGACTATGGGGTGGGTGACTTACCATGGGCGCGTTGCAAGGGTGCCTCGCCACGTCCACGCGGCCCTTGTCAAGTTCTTGCGCCTTCTGCCGCTGCTTGCGGCTCTCCAGTTTCTTCCGCGCTCCCGTCTTCTTCTTCGGCATGGCTGCTGTGTAACCGATGTGTCTCTAACGACTGTTATAACATCTGTTGAGAATAATGATCCTAGTTATTATTATTAGGATCACTTGAGTGGTTTTCCCAGAGAAACTTTAGCCGAAGCCCGCGCCGCTCCACGCTAGGCCCCCGTGACGTCAAGCGACAGGCAGGGAGCCGGCGACGTGCGATGTCGATTCGTGTGCATCGATTTCAATGCTCACGATTCGCACGCGCGCGCGTCGCTTCGTCAAATTGTATTCACTTGGGCGGCACGGCACGGAACAGAATGCGCAGAGTACACTGTACTGGTAGTAGCGATGTCATAAGTTAGACATTGCGAACAGGTGCAAATAAACAATACGAATCTATGATCGATTCCATTTATTTTAATCACGATTCTAGACTAAACCATCGTCATGTCCGGTAAGATCGGGACAGTGAGGCCGAGCCTGACAAGGAATCGATTCCCGTTACGCGGTGACCGTAAGTGAGACGCTCGGAATCGAAATTGACCTTCCCAGATTGAGGAGACTTGCAGGGTGGCCTCTGAGCGCGTACCCGGCGAGAAACATCAACATCATTGTCACCTCCACCATACACTATCATCACGATACACTAACATCACCGCCACCTCCGCCATACCGCGATGATCGTGATACCGGACGAGGCGAAGTCGCTGCAGCCGCCGTCGCTGCTGAACGTGAGCAGCCTGGTGCTGGGCCTCACGGGATGGGCCTCAGCGCTGGCGGCCAACGCGGCCCAGCACCGGCCCGCATGGAGCTCGGGTGAACTTGCTGCTAACATTTTCACCAATTCACTCGTGAATGTGGTGAGACTAGATTCCTGCGTAGCCATTAGCTAACTAGCCACTGATTTTGCAAGTGCTTGATGGAGAGAGGGCTGTGTGGGACTCTCTAACCCGAGCCATCCTCGCTACCTCAATGCCCTGTTCAAGTCCAGGTTCAGGTGGCTGGGTGGTTCAGGCCTGAGACCACTTGGGCCGGCACTGCTTAATTCTAGATTTAAAGCGTTCGTGACTGCAAGGATCCATACTCTTTGGTTCTATTGGATAAAGTCACGTAAGTGCGTGACTTTACCCAATAGAACCAAAGAGTACGGCACTGAATTTTTGATTTAAAGCTTTCGTGACTGCAGTAATTCATATTCTTAGTTTTTTCGGTAAAGTCACGTTGAAGAGAAACAACAAAATAACAAAATTTGGTTATTTTGTTGTTTCGCTTCAACGTGACTTTAACGAATAAACTAAGAATATGAAGTACGGCACTGCTTAGTCAAGAGTCGAGGTTGAATATTTGGCCTTCAGCCGCGCGTGGTTAAACCAGCTTCTCGTGTTTGGCAAGGGGCCATCCATTTAGTACTTACGCAAAAATCTGTCAAAACCTGACCCCCCCCCCCCTCTGAACAGATAGTCCACCACCGGCTGCATTAAATAATTAAGTTGCGTACCTTTAAAAAAGTTTGTCTAGTGTCCGCTCGGTTCAAACGCCGACTGAACCCAGTCGAACAGGTTACGCGTATAGGAATTTCATCCCGCTTTATTTTCTCAACCGATTCGTTTATTTTTTCCTGTTTACTAGCTTGAGGCCGAGCTTTACACAGCTTTGTACGGTTATACTTGACCGTATTCTTTGAGTCTTTCGGTAAAGTCACGTAGATCGGTTCAAAGAAAATAACACAGAAAAAAAACACTTTTAAAAACTACGACGTTTCGATTGCAACACAAGCGTACGTCATCAGGGTGAAAAAAGGGGGAAAGCTGCCGAGGCAAACTGTTTTAAGGTTTAAAATGGGTGTAGCCCAAGGGTCATACACGAAGTGGGCAGGGCTGGTGATGTTAATGTGAGATTGCAGGGCGAGCACGACGAGGCCACTGAGGTGGCTATGTTAATGTGAGAGATTAGCATGCCCTCGATTGAAGTTGCGTCTATATGTGGATGGCTTCGTGAACGAATCTTTGTTGATAGCCAGTGGGTTTACAAAGTACCTTCGTCTTAGAGATGGGTATAAACTGAGCAGTCATTGGAATGAAGTTATCAACCAGTTTTAAGTCATAACTGGCTGTGATGTTCCCATCCTACCACCTTCCGATGTTAGTTATTATTTTCGGCTCTCTGATTTTACATTAACAGGTTAAATTTCCCACACTAACAGCCACCTCGCTCGCCGAGCTCAACGTTGCTGCTCTGCGATCTGCCATTAACATGCTAATCTCTCACATTAACATGCTAATTTCTCACATTAAGTCAAGATTCATACTTGACCGTGTTATCCATCCTGACTGGTTATTCAAAAACATGTCTGTTAGGATCTTAAAACACAAAAACTCGTTGAAATAGTCTCTATATAAAGTGCGTCAGCTGAAAATCTCATGTAACAGTAGACCGATGTACAGACCAGTGTTAGTACTGAAGTCCGAGCAGCAGCAGCAGCACGAACAGAGCACTGCGGCAGCTAAAATCTTGAGCCAGTGACAGTCAGGCAGACCGCCAGACTGTGTCCGACTCACTGCTGAGCTGCATTATAGCTAACAGTCAGGGGTACGGTGGCATACAAGTGACACCTCTCCCACAGTCCTACTTCTCCCAGTAGTACTTGTCTGACAGCAGAAGAAACTGAACTGTGGCTCATTTGGAGGCCAATGTAGACAAATTATTATCGAGGCATCACACCACCCCCTCCCCCGTTTCATATGCGTATGTACATTGTCAGTAGACCCCCCATACGAAAGCGTGCGCATTTGGGTTAACCCCCCCTCCATGCGTACGTACTAAATGGATGGCCCCCAAGTTGATAGTCTCGGTCCATTCACCAAGCTGCACGAATACATTCTTAATGCTGCGTTTTCACGTAGCCATGTTGTAAACTCTTGTGGGTGACGGACATGTGATAAACACTCCTTGTAGGGCATGTAGTAGGTGTTCGTCCAGTGTAGAGAGAGAAGCATCGATCAGTGACATTTCGAGGCCATGCTCAAGGTGTACATGGTGGTGCTTTGTTGTCTAAAACCTCCAAATGGAAATTTCTTCGTCTGGTGATGCCAATATGCCGATTTCTTAATTTTACATTGGCGGGGGTGGAGAAAAAAAAAGCCGTGACTGACACAATGCCTCAAGCAGAACGTTTGCAATCGGTACAAATCGCCTGCTGTGACATGGATCTGCATGAACATTAACAAAGCGAATGGGATACAAGTTGAAAAGTAAGCTAAGAAGCATAGCGATCTGCATTTTTGAAATTACTGTGCATCAAGAGACAGGACGCTAAAACATGTACAGTATTGGGGAATACAGTATGGGCAATTAAAGACGCAATATTGTCAAGCAAAGTGAGTGGGCCTGGGCAGGACGTGTTACTGCTAGAAGGAATGACGTACGTTGGTCAAGACTAACGAAGGAGTGGCATCCAACGCAGAGAACGTGTCCTTGCTGACGTCCCCGATGACAGTGCGTGTCCAAGAGCTACAGATCTATAGTTAACATCGCCAGCATTGCGTGTGAGAGAGAAAGATGGTTAACGGCCGTAGGAGGCCTTCATCCAGCAATGGATGATGTCAATTATGTGGCGCGGCAGGCCTTCATCGGCAGGCGTTCATGTTCACCGCGTGCTGGGTGGCCGGCTACTACCTGCAGAAGCGCGCAAACTACATGCAGGCCAGGGCCAACCGCGACGTGGCTCTGTACGTGGCACAGCACCCACAAGACTTCAAGCCGGAGGGTGAGACACGCGCACGAGCCCAGGGGCGGCCGAACCGTTGGCGAGGTTTGCAGTTCCACGCAGCTGCTGCCTGTGATTCAGCGCTGTTGAGGCAGCCGAAATGGTTGCTGGATCGTAAAACTTCCATGATAATAATTTCGTGTTTTGTATAATGTAGCTCAGCGTCGAACTAAGACCCATATCTAACATGGAAAGTCCTTTCCCATGAACCTCTTTAGCCATTAACTCCTTTAGCCTGGCAGGCGGTGGCCTGTAATCCATCACTGTAGAGGCGAGGATGGTGGATCATACCAATGTCGTAAAACGCCCTTCTCGTGGGCGTCCAGGTGGTGCTATTCCCGTGCTTTCCCATGAGAATGCTATACAGCAAAGATTTGGGGTCCATCGGTTGTGTCCCTATTGGATAGGGTGTTACTTCGGTTTCCTCGCACATGTAAACACTCGTTAATTGGCCAATAATACCCGAATATGTAGTAGATTACAGATCGTTGACACCATGTGACCGCTGGTTCTGTGGTTCCTCCTCGCGCCGCTTGAATTGTTTTCTCTCATCGAGAGTGCGTGAATACTGTGCAGCAGCGCATTACACGTTGACATCATATGGCTGCAGGTGTACGAACCATAAAATGACATGTCGTCTGAATTGCAGTGGATGTTAAACATCCATTGAACATCATTCTGCTGCTTGCTACTGCTTTGACAGTGGCACAGATAATAAAAACACTCAATACGTTCATCATGGGACCTCCTTTGCCAGTACCAAAATATATATGAGAATAGGTTTTCTACTTTTTTTCTGGCCTTTTGTCGTCCTCTGGTCTAACACTGTTTGAGACTAGGCTCAAAAGAAAGCTGTCTCTGGTGTGGACCAATCAGTTTCAAAGACAATGCATATATTATCAGAGAATGTTTTTTGTTTGCATTCTGACCACAAGTGTTGTGGTTAATGCAGACATGATTCCTTGTAAAAGGTTTCAGTTTGGTGTTTTAACATCTTAACACCTGTTTTGTTGCCAGAAAAAAGGGGAAAACCTATTCTCACTCAACACGTTCGTTAATAAAAGTGGCCTTAAGTGAACAAAATATATACAATAGGTGGCACTTCAGTACACTGTGTGCAGTGGTATTGACGAATGTCAGTTTAACACATAGGCTTTAGCAACCAATATTTTCCATAAGAGATGTTTTGGGTTAGATCACGTAAATATAAATACATCGTTAAACCCGCCACCACCCGACACAGCCAATTAGTAATGCTTGTCACGTAAACAAAACACGCTATTTTGTTACTAGTTCAGCACACCGGTGTGTTGGAGAGTAAACCCACAACATTTCCAATTCGAGTACGACGTTTCGCCGGTAATTACAACCAGCCTGATCAGGCGGCAGCTTGTGGAGAAATCCTCCAGTTTTGGTCTGAAATAGAGGAATAAATGTTATGTCGTCACTTGTGAGCCAATTGGGTGCGAAGACGAGAGGGGGTGGGCGGTTTAATGTACAGGCAGTTCCCGGGTTAGGAAGGGTTAGGTTCCCAAGAAATATCCGTAACCCGATTTTTCCATATGTCGGAAACTGAACAATTTTCCCCCAAAATCAAGACAAAATCCCGTACTTCCTATGAGTCTTTGATTTAATCGAATATCTACCCTAACACTACCCATAATTAAACTAATTGAACAGAAACTGTGCTAAATGTGGCCCCAGCACCTTACGCCACGCTCCGCTGTATTCATCCACAACCTCACCGTGCTTCACTATTTGCGCTAACGTAACTAATGCAAACATTTACGCATACAGTATTTATTTATTTTTTACATGATTCATGGGAGCATTTCTGTAAAGTCGGATTTCCGTAAGAAGGGTCTTCCATAACCCAAAGACTGCCTGTATTCATATAAATTAAAATGGAAATCTATTACCGATTGGGTTATTCGCAATCAATCAACATATATAATGTGCATACATTACGTGCATGCGCAATGCACATACTATGCATGCACATTATGTATGCACACCATGCATGCACATCCTGACATTTTTGGGTCAAAAAAATCGCAATACCTGTTATTGCTCAGAGTTAATCACCATCGATGTATGGTGACCTGTGAAGGCATACAGTTAAATGGTGTATTAATTGATAATACACTTCCAATCTGCACTAAGCCTGTCGCTATCTGAACGGTTACAATTATTTGTTTTTCCTCTTAATTTCAAAGATTCTCTTATAAGTCTTGTAACAAATTTTTGCACAAACCTCAACATTATCAAAAACCAACTGACTGCACTTGTTGGCACACGTGTTCTGCCACAGTCGACAGCTGTTTGGCAGTATGATCAGCATGAGACTAAAAGAACACCAAAGGATATTAATTTAAACGATCTAACCCAAAAAAACCTCTTATGGATTGACGAATGAATTGGGTTTATTCTAAAAAGTGGGCCATTACATACGCTGGTTGTCAGCACCACACCCAGCTGCCTTTGCCTCCCCAGTGGCGATGTTTACGCATCCCTCCAGGTACTCAGTTTAGCCTGAGTCAACCTCCGTGATGGCCAGGACTGGTTCAAATTATCATGAGCGGGAATTGACCTCGGGTCACTGGGTTCGCAGCGCAGTGCACTAATCACTGCGTCACCACACGCACATACGTAAGCAAGCACGCGCAAACAAACTCGCACAAATGAACCCGCGCGCACGCTTATCAGGCTGAGTGGGCAAAATGACCAAGCTGTGCCGTGGTTCTTTTTGCTACAGAGAAGAAAAAGTTTAAGGAGGTGCTGGAGCCTGCGCACCCGATCTACTAAACGCAGCAGCCGACCCCCTGGAGCACCCCCAGCACGAGACTCGACATCAACTCAACATCAGCTACACATCAACTCAACATACATCCTGCATCACTAAGTAGTAGCACAACATTAACCCAGCACCAATGTCAAATCAACATCACCACCAACACCATCCCAACATGAACTTAACATCTAACTTAGGAGGTTGGTGAACAAGAAGTCCATGGTGGTATTGTGACCCAACCACCTGCCAGTTATGTGATAAGCAGGGCGTGTGCTTGTTGGTGCCACAGGGCTGAGACGGCCGTCATCCACCAGGCTTATTTGTGGTCCTTGTCTGCTCGCCCCCAAACCGCGCTGCGTGGCTTCCTTGACGAGCGGCTCGTACCATCACGCGTGTCGTGTTATTCTACACATTGCTTGAAATTAAAAGTAAACTCGAACAGACTGCGTATATCGGCTCTTTTTTAAAAAATATATTTGCCCATATTTTATCTGGATTGTGCTATCGACATCTTTCACGAGAGAAATCCATTTGGTACTCGCGGATGTGCAACGTGCATGTGTAAGCTCTTATTAATTTGGCTGATAACACCTTAATGTATAGAGAACTACAGAGCTTGGGCAATAGTTAGTGTTGGCTCACCACGTGGCGGCTTTCCTGCTTGTCTGGTTTCTCCTCGCACCTTGAGTCATTCTCGAGGAGTGAGTGTTTAAGTGCACGTTACATGTTGACATTATTAAGAGTCCAGCCCTTGAGTATTAGAAAAGGGCACGTAGAACGTATATCACATAGCTACTTTCGAAATCCCTGCAAGTGGCCTCTACTTCACATAGTCGGGGACAGCACTTCCCCACCTGAGTTTCAAACTCAAGTTTATTTTGTTAAAATTAGGTGAGGATTCCAGTGACCAGGATGAATTTCATTTGCAAGACTGACCTGGGTCACCAATGTGATCAAGGAAAAACAATACAGGCAATGAAGCAAATAGAAAGGAGAACAAAACTAACTCGTATTTAAAATGTTGCACGAACAAATGTATTTTTTTGGCCTGATAGTATAATTGCCAATTAAGTTAAATGAACATTAAACATGTTGGGTGACTATTGTTTGGAAATGTAAACATACAAGGATATTACAGTTGAATGCATCTTGCTACTGAGAGTAATGTTCAATAAGCCACCAAACTGCACCCAAATTTATTATTGCTGTTGACTTACTGCACTAGGACAAAAAAGGCTTCTTACCCTAGCCTAACTAAATACTTAGCCAAGAAGTCTGGTGACACCTCAATCATACATTGACTGCGTGTCTTGCTGACAGGATACAGTGCTGAGAAAAAGTTTGTGAACCCCTTAGGATTTTCACAAATTACATATTTGAAACCTGAAATGTTATTAGATTTTAATCCAAGTCATAATAAAGATAATCTGATTAAACAAATTACACAACAATGATGCTCTTTCACCATGTACTTATCCTCAAATGATTCTACATTCAATAACCACGTGTGAAAAAGTATGTGAACCTTCATTTTCAGTCTTCTGATTGCTGAGTCATGAACACTGCAATTTGCCAAGGCGAGAGTAACTTGCAGATCCTTGAATGTTTCTTTGGGGTGCTTTGTGATTTTTTGGTAGGACGACCGCTCCTGGGTATCGTGACTGTGGCCTTGAACTTTCTCCAATTGTAGAATATCTGTCTCACAGTGCATTGGTGGAGCCCCAAATCCTTAGAAATTGTCTTGTAACTAATTCCAGAATGATAAGCATCAATAACTATTTTTCTGAGATCCTCAAGATATTTATTTTGCTCGTGCCATGACTTGTTTCCACACACCTGTATGGTGAAGATCTTTATATAGGGTGAAGCCTCCCAAACTCACCCCCTGAAGATCCATTTAAACATTATTTAAATTCATCATCTTTGTTCTTTCGGTAAAGTCACGTAGAAGGGAAATAATAAAAATAAAACAAAATTCTCACGACGTTTCGGCCACAACACAAGTAGCCTTCCTCAGGTGAAGAAACAACTGTCGGAAAGACGGCGCTCCAATGAGCACCGTCTTTCCGACGCTGTTTTTCCGACAATTCTGTTTCTTCACCTGAGGAAGGCTACTTGTGTTGTGGCCGAAACGTAAGAATTTTTATTTTGTTTTATTTTTATTGTATTATTTCCCTTCTACGTGACTTTACCGAAAGAACCAAGATGATGAATCCCTGCAGTCACGAAAGCTTTAAATCGAAAACTAAATTATTTGTACACGTGTTTCTAATTCCCTTAATTCACCTAATGAATTAAGGGGTTCACTTACTTTTTCACACACCCTGAACCTTAATTACTAATTGTTTAATTCATACTCTTTGGTTCTATTCGGTAAAGTCACGTAGGTAAAAAAATAAAACAACAAAAATCACGACGTTTCGGCCACAGCACAAGCAGCCTTCATCAGGTGAAGGGACCAGGTTGTAGTCGAGGACAGCGCTGGAGTGAAACACAGCCACGCTACGTGACTTTACCGAATAGAACCAAAGAGTATGGATCCTTGCAGTCACGAAAGCTTTAAATCTAGAAATGTTTAATTCATACATCATTTCGTTTCAAAAGACATGGAATTTGTTCATATTAATCCTATTGGATATTTAAGAAAATACCGGTTTTGATTCCAGAAACTATCATGGTAAAACTGGAATTTCCATCATTATGATTGGGGTTTACAACATTTTTCTCGGCACTATGGATGACATGGCTGAATATTAAACTCGGAAGAAACAGGTGTTTATGTTGTTAGCTTGGAACGAGTGAATTGCTACGAACCCTTCTGAATTCCTCTCAGGTTGTTTGCCTCATGATTCGTGGACCTAGATGAGAACTGGGTGGGCATCAGTCACTCGAGCCTCACGTCAAAAATGTAGCTAAATTACATAATTTTTCCACTTAGGATATGCAGTACTGCCAATGTATTCCTTCGCTGGCAGGTGCTGAAAAACTCATACACGATCTGCTGATTCTGGTCTGAACTCATCCCAAAGACCAGACTGCTCTATCGGAGACCGAACTATTTGCAGCCAGGCTCCGTGATAGTAGAATTCCCTTCCTCGGTCAATTTGGAAATCTGAGTCTTTTACATTTTTTAAATCTCGTCTTAAAACTCGCCTGTTTGTACTGTAGGCTTTCTCCACAACTAAAGCTGTATGTAAAGTACTTTGAGGGCTTATGCAAATTGCACTGTAGAAAACCAAGATTATTACGCTTTTGTTACATTGTATATGTATTCTCTGGGATTAACATCTCGGTGACAACTCATGCAAAATTCTGCTGCCAGAGTTCTAACAAGAGTGCAGACCGCTGACCACATCCCTCCTTTACTAGCGTTCTTACATAGGCTTCCTGTGCTGTCCCCGGGTTCACTTTAAAGTTATTTTGACTTAAAAAGCGCGAAATAGCCTTTGATCTATATTACCTGTGTAATGTATTGACCCAATATGCACAAAGTCGCTCAATAAAGTCACAGCATTAAGCCAAGTCGCGTTTATTTGTTTAAACAGATGAGAAGGCAAGAGACCAGGATAATCTCATTTGCAAGAGTGATTCACCTGGCTTAGCAAACTGACAAACGCAAAACAAATATAAAGTAAAGCAATGAAACAAATGGAAATCAGATCAACATAACTTATAACATGAGAAAATATTATGCAAACATAAATTAATGTTAATAAAATCCCTGTGTGCAAAATTGACTATAAGACGAAAGTGTAGACAGACAAGGACATACCAGTCAAATGCAGGTTTGCTAAGTGTGCCACTGGCAGAGAATTATTCTGGTGGCAGAGCATTCAGCTTGAGAGCCCCAAAGCTATAACAATTCGCTGTTGTGAATCGCCGTCTCCAGGTTTCGTAGATTTCATTCACAAGTCTGCTTTCACACTTGAAGATAATGCATAATCTTTGACTATTTATCTTAAGTTTTACACGCGACCTCTGACTTTCTTTGATGTTCAGGTCTTGTCATCTTACTGCATATTGCCTTTAGCTGTTGCTGTTCCTGTGTTTAAAGTTGCTGTGTATTTTAAGATCACAAATTTGCTTAAACGCACAATGTTTTTAATGAGAAGTAATCATCATACGTTCACTCTCTCTGATAGTTTGTTTCACTATAATTGTTATATATAGCTTTTAGATTACTTATTCCGTCCTATTGAAAAAGGCGTTATATATAAATAAATATTAATCTGTGTATATAATTTACAGTGGAAGGCCGTTTTGAATTGTATTTCTCCTTTGCATACCGGGGCGGTGGTGGATATGCACATTGCGTCTAATCCAGCATTGTGGAGGCAAGGGTTGGTGGATCACACACATGTTGTGAAACTCCCTTCCCGTGGACATCGAGAAGGTGCTATACACTGGCTGGTCTGGAGAAGGCAGTACAGCATGTGGACTAATCTGTATTGTGATAAAGTGTTGCTCCCTTGAGCAAGGCGTGAGTTTTTTCTGGATGCTCGCGCCCACGCGTATTGTAAACTTTGTCTTAATTGTCTTTAAACACCTGAAAAGACAAATCCAATGTCCCAAGACCCTCCTGGAAAAAGAGTTATTTACCTGAATGTGGCTGTCCTGGATAAATAAGTAAATTACAAGTAGTTATCTTAATCGAATAGTGCTTCCACCTTTTCCATTTTAGACCAAACTAGGACAAATGTCTCCGTCAGCATACTATCTATATCAAACTCTGCAGTTCATTGTGATACATTTCAACACAATACCTGTGTAATAAACGCAGTTTAGATTTAACGTTATCCAGTGGCGATTCCAATTGGGCTTTTATAGGGGGCACATTTTCCCTCCTATACATAAGGAAAAATGGCGAAAATCTCGTGGAAGCGTGCGGGGCTATCCTGTATGCGGCAAGCATGCAAATCCCAATCAGCTTGTTTGGCATCCACCGTCTGACAGCATGGCGGACAAAGTCCTGTTCAGACGTTCGGCCATCCCATCCATCTGTGGATGGTGCGGCGACGTTCTGATTTTCTTAGTGCCCAATGCGCCACAGACCTCACGTAACAACTTAGAGAAGAAATTTCCGACCTTGGTCCGTAAGCAGCTGCTCGAGAGCACCTTTGTCCATTACGTAAATGTTCAAAAATGCGTCAGCAATGGAGGCCGCCGACTGATCAGGAAGCGGCCAAGCCATAGGCCATCGATAAAAATATTCCACTCACACCAAAAGGAATTTGATATCCCTAGGAGTGAACGGAAAAGGGCCAAGGACATCGAGCGCCACCAGTTCGTTAATACGCGAAGCCGAAATAGATTGCAGTGGCGGGTGACATTTCCGCTACGGCGGTTTCCTTCGCGCACATTCCGTACATCCTTGGACCCATCGGCTGTCATCCCTGGCCAATAATCATGCTGCAATGTCAAGGATTTTTGGACGTCGAGGTGCAACAACTTCTCGTGCAGCGTACGAACCAAGTAATTACGGAGGGCAATGGGAACAAAAATCCGCCAGCGAAAAATCCTCGACATCAAAAGGCCGTCATGGAGAATCAATCGGCCACCTTCACTTGAGGCGGAAGCTGCCTGCGCGTGCTCTGCATGACGCTGCAAAGTTCCTAAGGAGTCATGCAGCAGCTGCTCGCGCACCCACACAGCGCGGAAGCTGCATTACACTGTCAAATGACACAATTGTGCCAGCAGGTCTCGAACTGGCTATCACAGACATGATGGTACGTGTCTGCGACACAGAGGGCCCACAACGGCTCATCCCAGACAACCATGGACAACGAGGCGACTGATAATCGCGACAGCATCCGCGTTGCAATGTCGAGTACCCTTACGATACACCACATGGAACGAGAACTCCTGCAAGATTTCAAGCCAACGAGAAAGTTGGCCAGCCGGCTGTTCGACCTTCAAGAAATATTGGAGGGCCGCATGATCAGTACGGACAACAAATTGTCTGCCATCGAGGTAAGGCCTGTATTGCTGAATGAAATAAACAATGGCCAAAAGTTCCCTTTGGGTGACACAATAACGAGGTTTCACAGGAGAAAGGACATGGCTGCCGTACACGACCACCTCAACCCCGTTTTTAACTTGAGATAAGACGGCGCCGATGCCCGTGTCACTAGCGTCGGTGTCAAGGATGAATGGCAGGGATAAATCGGGATACTCGAGCGTGGGCGCGTCAGACAGCTGTTCGCGGAGGGCTAAATGCAGCCTCTTCCTCCTTACCCCATTTGAATCTCTGGTTTTTAGCAGTCAACGCATGCAAGGGTTTAGCGACCATTGCAAAATGCGGCACGAACCTTCGGTAATATGACGCAAATCCGACGAAACTGCGCACATCACCCACACATGCGGCGGTCGGCCAATTGCGAACACAGGCCATTTTCTCCGGGTCCGTGGCGATGCCCTCGGCGCTGACAATGTGACCCAAGTTACCGAATTCTGTAGTAAGTGACATTTAGCCGCTTTAAACTTCAAATTAGCAGAGCGTATTCTATCGAAGACAGTACGCAGACGCCGGAGATGTTCGTCAAAAGTGCGGCTAAATACGATGACATCGTCTAAATGAGACAAGTGTCCCACTGCAGGCCGGTCAAGACGAGCTCCATCAAACGCTGAAAGCTGGCCGGTGCCGAATTCAAGCCCATCGGAAGGCAATTGAACTGAAAGAGTCCCTGGGGTGTGCGGAACGTGGTTTTTGGTTTGGACGGGTCGTCAAGGGGTAGTTGCCAAAACCCCAAAGACAGATCGAGAGTGGAAAAATACCGCGCCCGGGACAAAGCATCCATGGAGTCGTCCATGCGCAGGAGCGGATATGCATCGTCCACCGAAACTTTGTTTAACTTACGGAAGTTAACACAAAATCTGAGACCACCGTCTTTCTTTTTGACAAGCATGACGGGTGCTCCCCAAGGGCTATTCGACGGGGAAATAATATCGGCGGTCAGCATGTTGTTGACCGCCCATTGCACATGTTCCTTTTCAACAGGGCTCAACCGGTACGAGTTTTGACGAATAGGGCCGGCCTCACCCGTGTCAATGCGGTGAGACAACAGGGATGTACGACCAAGATCAAATTCACTCTTACTGAAGACATCCAAAAACTCGCACAGAAGTGAATGCAATTTGTTCCGTTGCTCGGAAGACAAGAACAAATTCTCCCCGCACAAAGCGACGGCCCACCGGTCATCCGCAATATCACAAGGATGAGCCGCCCCCACAACATGTCGCGGTTCAACCTTGTTGCGGTCCGAAAACGCGGTGGTGGCATAAGCCAACACCGATATGGTGGGAACTACAACGGCATCTGGGCCCCCGTTGAGCACCTGCAAGAACGGGGCCTGCTCGGAGCGAAGGATCGTCTGTGCGCCGACGAGCGCGAGACCCCGGGTCGCTGTGTTTGACGGGGTCAGAAGGACCCCAGCCGTCGAATCGACACTTCCAATGTCCCTACGATAACGCAACGGCACAAGCATTTGGGATCCTGGCGGGATCTCGACTGTGGCATCCACGAGAATCATGACGACTTCCCTTCGGGTCCCCGTCCCGACTGGGGTCTCCCGTTCATGCCGCCATCTGTGACCATCGCTGCAGGCTTTCGTGAGCGTGAAGACATCGGGCGGCCTAGCATGCGTTCCATGACAGGTGAGTCGAGGACCTCTGGATTCACATCAGGGTAAGCGGCCGCAGCCAATGCCATCAGCGCACTATGGTATGCGAGAGGTGTTTCAGAACTCCCTCGCCTACATTGCATAAACTTTCGTCGCGTGTCGGAAGGTGGCTTGTATACCTCTGCCATATCGGCATACGCACCCTGCAGCGTGGACTTCTTCTCCGGAGGGATGGACCTGAAAATAGCCAGAGCGTCGTCGTTAAGAACAGTCGGCAGAGCGACCAGTACTTCATCCTCCGTCCAGTGTACCGAACGGAACGCTGCCTCAAATCTCCAAGTGAAGGCGCTCCAGTCGCTGCAACGAATTCTTTAACTTGTGGGAGTCATCGGGTGCGATCGGCTCCGCTTCGTCCGACTTCGGCGGCGGCCCCCGCACTTTGCGCACCATGCGGCTCATCCTAAATGGCGGGCTCCGACTACGCCCTTGCCACGCCGTCTGAAATGGCGGCGTCCGGCCACGCGCCCTCCTCAGCACGTGGAATGGAGGTCGTCGCAGCTGCGGGAGAACTCGCTGCAATTCCGGCCTTGAAACTTTGTCGCTACCTCCCGGCAATGCATCAGGTGAACGCTCCACCACCGTAGACATCGTGACTAGCGAAACCAACTGAAGGAGCACCACCCACAAGGATTCTAGCTGCTCCTCCACCCTCTTCCAGCCGTCTTCGGCCCGCTGGGGCAGAGATGTTGTTTCCGCGCCGACCGCCTCCGGCGCAGCAACCTCACCCGCCGTGGATCCTGTAACCGGGACCACGGATCCCGGGGTCGGCAGGTCCTGGGTCCCCGCATCGTCGTCGGAAGACGCTACAGGTGGGTTCCGCTTCTTGAGATGTTTAGACATCGTCTGTAACTTGTAATGTTTTCTTCATTTGAAGAATGACTAATGACGCCAATGTAATGAACGCCTTCCAAGACGATTCGTGTAGAGGGTGCTTTATTTATTTCCCAACTGCAGTACAGCACAGGCCCCGCTCCTTGCCTCTCTGAATATTCTCCCGGATGACAATGCCCTTAGACAATGCGTATCTCCGATACACTGGCAGAGTCCGCCCTGCTCTCTCGGCCTCGCCGCTGACTGGCGGCATGCCGGAGGGGAAAGGCGAGCTCCGCTAGGGATCTGCCACGTGGTCGGGCGGCGAAGAGAAGATGTGGGGGCTACCGTCCCCCGCCATCACTGAATTGTCGGGGCCGTTGCCCACCGACTCCCCCGTTCCATTCATACCGCTACCCCCCGGCTGCTCTGTCAGGTCCAGACTACCGACCCCTAATGTCTCGCCCCCCTGTACCTCTGCCTGGGATGTCGACCGCGTTTGCGTAGCTTAATTAGCGGCTCGTACGCTTTGTGCTTGCGATGCGCTACACTGTTCAACGGCGGCGTGCCACAGTGAGCGCACTCGCAAAGTAAAACCCCGTCCTGCACGGGAATAAACAGGCATGGCGCCCCCGTGGGATTCCCTCCCAGCCACGCTCCACACGCTTAAGCAAAAACAAACACGCCACGATTACTTTGCTCCGATTTAACGGGCTGTTTACACAGCTGCGTTTTCGCGCACGCCAGGCGCT